GGAAAGAAGCATTTATTGTATTGAAGTATGTAATATATGTTATGCTATGTCTTGTTTGAGTTATATGGAAGCAGGATTAATTACTTCAATAAATAAAATAATTTTTAAAAAATTATTCCGGGTTTCAGGCATTTACCATCATCATCGTCATCACTGGGGGTATCATGTACATGTGGGCTCTGCTCTCTGGTCATGCCTTGTCGCATTCCTCAAGAACAAACCACAAGAGACCCGTGACGCAGGCCCGTGTACTCTATCGCGGGAGCGGGGAATTCTCGAATCATGCCCATAATCATTTTCAGACAGACAGAGATGGCCAGACTCACTCTCTGAGGGGTGTGTATCGGAGACAGAGCATCGAGGTCGGCCATCGGGAATTCCACGCCTTTCCTTTTGAGTTCTTCGTAAATATGAACCACCCCGGTTAAGTCTGGGCTGCTTCGGAAGGCATCGGCCCAGGCCTAAAAAAAGAACAATACACAACCAGACATACAAGGACTGTTAAAGTGGCTTTCGCAAACATCAGGCAGTCTTCCCTTAGGAGTCCCCAAACTCCTTCGGCAGTTTTGACCTTATCATTCTTTCTTAAGCGTGAGAACTACCGTTAAGGTTGAGAGCCAACCACTGAAATCGAAAGCATAATCACCGGCAACGTCTTTTTGTTATGTCTGACAGCCGTTTCTCTTCTTGCCCAAGGACTCGGGCTGAGTGATAAGACAAGCAGGGGGGAAAAACCCTACAATTTAAAAACTACTGTGATGTTGGAAATAATAAAAAATTATATTATAAAAAAAAACAACTACTGTGCGACATGCAGACGGGTTAGGAGTTCTGGCCGTGCTTTACCTTGGCCGTTAAAAGCAAGCTTGAATGGGAACAAAGTGTTCCCGGAAAGCCACTCTGACTACGAAAACTCCTGAGGGGGGTGGGGGTGGTTCTGTATTTGCGGCCAGCGGCCAGACACACCTTGTTGTGTGTTCTGCCCTCGTTTCACAGACAGAGAACCAAAATGGAACTCTGGTTTTAAAGAGCAGGAGTCCAGTCGCACCTTAAACGCTAACAAAAACTGGGGCAGGGTAGGAGCTTTGGTGAGTCACTGACTCACGAAGGATCTTCCCCTGCCACAAATTTTTGTTAGTCTTTCCGGTGCTCCTGGAGTCCTGCCCTTTTCTACTGCTACAGACAGACTAACACACCTGCCCATCTTGATCTCTCTCTTATTTTAAAGGCCTCGATGAAAGATATTGGGAGGAGTGCCTCCTTCCCTAGGTCCCTGTAATGATTTCATGTATCGGTGTGTGTGTTTCTTTAAATGTTTCGTTTGACTGCAGTAATGTACGGAGAGTGATAGAGGGAGACGAGTGGGATGTGACTGGCTGATGACTGAGAGTGTGGGGGGAGAGATGTCTCTGAGGTGATTCAGTGTTTTAGAGAGACGAGTGTGGAGAGTTGTGGAGAGAGTTTAGCCTGTGTGGCTATGAGCGATAGAGTTTAGCCTGTGTGGCTATGAGTGATAGAGTTTAGCCTGTGTGGCTATATGAGAGAGAGAGGATGACTTTTGGTGTCTGAGAGACTGCGTGTGACGCGAAGCTTTGACAGTTATATTTTCTTTCTTCAACAACAGTTAAAAAAATTACCCAGAAACCTATTTTGTTCTTTATTCAATAAATCATTATTTGTTTAAACCTATCCCAGCAATCAGAACAGTCCTTCCTCAGGGCCACATAGTCCTCTGAAATGCCCAGACAGGGTCATCCTACCAAAATGGGGAAATTTGGAATTTTTAATTCCTGGTGGCAGCAGATATCTACTAAGTTCATGTACACAGAGTGTGTTTTAAATGAGAAACGGTCTCCCCAATAAGCGGGACGCCACAGTCTCTGTGCGCCAACCATGATCTTCAGGCAGCCATCTTTTGGCTATCCCATCACTCAGGGCGGCCCGGCTGGCACGGACCAAAGCCCAGGCCTTTTCCATTGTGGCTCTAGCTCTGTGGGATGAGCTCCCGGAAGAGGTGAGAGCCCCCCCCCCCCTTTTTTCAAGCAGTGCTGTGGGGCCTGCCTGTTTGCTAGGGCTTTTGACAGGCTTGAATTAGCAGGAACCTTTTAAAAGAGGTGCAAGGGAGAGATTGGAGTGGTTGTTGTGGTTTTAACTGGAAATGTTTGTAACTATTATTATTGTTAGCCCCCTTGAACCACTAGGAAAGATGGGATGCAAATTTTTAATAAATAAACACATGAAGTTGCCTTATACTGAATCAGAACATCAATCCATCAATATCAGTCTTGTCTACACAACAGCTCTCCAGGGTCTCAGGCAGAAGTCTTTCCTATCACCTCCTGCCTGGTCCTTTTAGCTGGAGATGCCGGGGATTGAACCTGGGACCTTCTGCATGCCAAGCAGACACTCTCCCACTGAGCCACAGCCCCTCTTGACAGTTCTCCAAGGTTTCAGGCAGAGGTCTTTCCCATCACCTCCTGCTTGGTCCTTTTAGCTGGAAATGCTGCCGAAGACTGAACCTGGGACCTTCTGCATGCCAAGCAGATGCTCTACCACTGAGTCACAGCCCCCTCTTTATAGCTCTCCAGGGTCGCAGGCCGAGGTCTTTCCCATCACCTCCTGCTTGGTCCTTTTAGCTGGAGATGTTGGGGATTGAACCTGGGACCTTCTGCGTGCCAAGCAGAGGTTCTACCACTGAGCCACAGCCCCTCTTTACAGCTCTCCATGGTCTCAGGTGGAGGGCTTTCCCATCACCTCCTGCCTGGTTCTTTTAACTGGAGATGCCGGGGATTGAACCTGGGACTTCCTGCATGCCAACCAGATGCTTTTCCACTGAGCCACAGCCCCTCTTTACAGCTCTCCAGAGTCTCGGGCATGATGTCTTTCACATTACTTCCTGCCTGGTCCTTTTTAAGTGAAGATGCCGAGGACTGAACCTGGGACCTTCTGCCTGCCAAGCAGAGGCTCTGCCACTGAGCCACGGTCCCTCTTACAGCTCTCCAGGGTCTCAGGCGGAGGTCTTTCCCATCACCTCCTGCTTGGGCCTTTTTAACTGGAGATGCCGGGGATTGAACCTGGGACCTTCTGCATGCCAAGCAGAGCCTCTACCGCTGAGCCATGACCCCTCCCTAAATAGGGCGATAGTTGTCCTCTAAAGCAAACCTAAGCTAAAACAAGGTTTGTAAAATAAGTCCACTTCACTGGACCAGCAAGTAAAACGTGAAACAAAAAATTACACTGTGAATCAAAGAAAGCCAAACCACAAAATAATTAAGTCTCATTTACTGATAGACCGACGTCCCCCCTTTTCAAAATAAGAAAAACCCAATAAGGTTTTTGCACCAAAACTAATCACCAAGGCAAGAAAACAACAGTTGAACAACATTCCTCTGAGTACAGCATCAAAAACCGAATGAATGAATGAAAGAGCCCACCTACAGACCTGAATTAGGGCCAGAACTTTGTCCTGAACGATGGTGGGAGGGTTGTTCTTAGGAGAGATGAGCTTCACCAGGACCCCATCTATGAAGTCACGGTTGGCTACCAGGACGTGAAAGCGATGGCCACAGTTCTTCACACAAGTTTCCAGTACCTACAGGAAGGGGTAGGGGGGGACATGGACTACGTTACAGGTGAAGCACAGCTAGCTGAGTAACATCTGAGTAGAAGCTTGCCTATCTACCTCCCCTGAGCGATTGAGGGAGTCTGGGAAAGCAAGCTATGATGCAACAGCAGCACTGGAGGAAGCAGCAGGAGACAGCCAGTCCCTTGCAGGCCTGATAGAAGCCCTCCGGGGGCCTAATCCGGCTCCCGGGCCGCATGTTTGACACCCCTCCTAGACTGTGTCTTCTGAAATGGCCACCTAGACCAGGTTTTCGCTGTCATCTTCTCTGCACCCTTCCCTGCGCATCAGGGGACCTGGGCAGCACCGCTAAGGGCCCGGATTTGGCCCAGAGGCCTGCACTCACTGACCGTTTCACCACCCGTTTCTCTGTCTCCGCTCACCGTTAGAGCCAGCATCACTTCTCTGTAGTTCTTGTTCCCGTTCAGCCTCTTCTTGAGCGCTCGGATGGCATCCTTGGGGCTGAAGGAGGGAGAAAAAGAGTCACCGCGATTGTGAGACAGTCAGAAGTATCTTCCAAGCTCTCAGTATTGCAGGTCCAGCTTTAGATTACCCAAGCGACAACTGTTTTGAGCCACAGAACTTGAAAACACCTATACCGATGGTTCTTAAAAACTTGGGATTGTATAAGTCCCCCAGCACAACAGTAAAAGATGATGATGACGATGATGAAGGAGGAGGAGATTGGATTTACACACCGCCCTTCACTCGGAGTTTCAGAGTGGCTTACAAACTCCTTTCCTTTCCCCTCCCCACAACAGACACCCTGTGAGGTAGGCGGGGCTGAGAATGCTCTTTCAAGAACTGCCCTTGAGAGAACAGCTCTGACAGAACTATGGCTTGCCCAAGGTCATCCAGCAGCTGCAAGTGGAGGAGTGGGGAATCAAACCCGGTTCTCCCAGATTAGAGTCTGTGCACTTAAGCACTACACCAGACTGGCTAGGGGGTGCACTTAACCCATACACCAAACTGGATAGGGGATTCTTGCCCAAGGGATGCACCATATTTCTATTAGGAAGGAGCAGACGAGCAGTAATACCACAAGAGACAAGAGAGATGCATTTTAAAAATGTGTCATACTCATATTTATGTGGTTATACGAGCATCCTTTGCCTCAGTAAAGAGCAGCAAGAACACAGAAAGGTTTTTAAAATTGTTGAAAAACTGCTCCAAGGATTGGGTTTGGGAAGACATCTCGACGGCATGACTGGCACTAGCCAATCAGCACTGACGGATGGCTTTTGCTGCAGAATGGTAGAACTACTCCCTCCCACCCCATCCGTGTTTAATTCTCAAGAGGAAAAGATACTGAATACTGAATAAGGAGGGATAGTGCTTTCTAGACAACCCGGATTTTCTGTAAATGTCATGGCAGTCACTGAACTCATGTGCAATGCTCCCTCTAAGATGCGGAGTCTTGTGAGCAAAAATTCTACTTTGTGAGTGACTGGCATTCAAATTGTGAGCAATCGATTTGGCCACTGCATAAATTAGTTTACTCTGGAGCCATCCTTCTGGAGCTAAGACAAAAAGGTGTGCACTGGAGGCTAAAAAACTGTGAGCTGGCTCACACTAACTCAGTTTAGAGGGAACACTGCTCGTGTGGGCTCCTATAAGCTGTAACACCTGCTAATTAATTAATTAGCGTATGGCATTGTGTGTAGAATAGCCAGGAGATTCTAAGATTGTCAGGCAGCCACAAGTTTGTTATCAGGGGATTGATCCAGGGTCCCAGAGAGCTCTGAAAGAACTCCGACTTGCCCAAGGTCACCCACCTGGCTTCACGTGGAGGAGTGGGGAATCGAGCCTGGTTCTCCAGATTAGAGTCTGTTGCTCTTAAGCACTACCCCACGCTGGCCCTCTGTAACATCTGCTGTTCAGTTGGCTCATTTTACCACATGTAGTGGCATTGTGAAAGATCTAAGAAATATTGGGTAATGGTACATGAAATCTTGCAAAAGGTACTAGGGACGGTAGTACCATTTACACCAGAGACTTTGTTGTTGAATATTCTAGTTGTAACACTCTGAACGGGCTCACTCACAGGAGGGTTCCGCCTCCATCACCAGGTGAACGTGATTCTCCAAAAGGGAGACTGCCAATGTTTTATGGAACCTTTTGCACCAATGGCAGCCACTTTATTGTGGTACCCGTTACCAGCGTTCCCTCTAACCTGAGTCAGTGTGAGCTAGCTCACAGGTTTGTAGCCTCTGGCTCACACATTTTTGTCTTAGCTCAGGAAGGATGTGGCTCCGGAGCAAATGGCAAATTGTGCAGCGGCCAAATCGCTCGCTCACAACTTCAACGCCAGTACCTCGTAAAGTAGAATTTTCGCTCACAAGACTCCACAGCTTAGAGGGAGCATTGCACCTGCTCTCAAACTTGCAAGCATTCCTACAGACACAAACTAGGGTGGGGACCACCGGCCCTAGTGCTTTCTGGGCGGCTTATGACTCAAACCCCACAGTATTATTAGGGTTGCCAACCTCCCGGTGGCGACTGGAGATCTCCTAAGATTACAACTTATCCGCATACAACAAAGATCAGTTCCCCTGGAGAAAATGGCCACTTTGGAAGGCGGACCCAATGAAGTCCCTCCCCCCAAACCCCGCCCTCCTCAGGCTCCGCCTCCAAAATCTCCAGGTATTTCCCAAGACAGAGCTGTTAGGAGCCATGCCGTAACTACCAATTGACAATCGCAAGCAAGCCCAAAGAGTCATTCATATGTGGAATTCACTGCTGCAGGAGGTGGTGGCAGCGACAAGCATAGACAGCTTCAAGCGGGAACTGGATAAACATATGGTGCAGAGGTCCATCAGTGGTTATTATCCACAAGGGATAGAGCGCTGTGTTTGGAAGAAGTGATGCTCTGTCTTCTTGGGGCTTGGTGGAGAGCTTCTGGAGTTCTGGCCCAGCTGGTGAACCTCCTGATGGCACCATGGTTTTGGTCACTGTGTGACACAGGGTTTTGGACTGGCGGTCCTAACAAGCTACGCGTCTGGGGGCTGCTTTCATACCTAAGACTCAGTTCCCCGTTGTTGTTTTTTACTCAGCTTTGGCAGCAGCCGACAAAGCGTTCCAAGAAGGTAAAAGGTAAAAAATTCTTATACACTCTTAACCAGGCCCAATCAGCTGCAGTGTCCAGTAAAAGTTTAAAACTGTTACAGTGTTTCTCTAAAAAAATTGGAGACAGTGAGGATTTCTACCTTAATTAGCTTGCTGTGTGAGAGATCTCTTGTGGGAGAAGCCTCTGAGGAAAATGGCGAGTTGGCAAAATACTTATGAAGTCCTTAAAGGTAAAGGTTCCCTTGCTCGAAAGCCAGTCGAATCCGACTCTAGGGTTGCAGTGCTCATCTCCGTTTCAAAGCCGAAGAGTCAGCGCTGTCCGAAGACGTTTCCGTGGTCATGTGGCCGGCATGACTAAACACCAAAGCGCACGGAACGCTGTTACCTTCCCACCAAAGTGGTACCTATTTAACTACTTGTAATTTCTTGCTTTCGAACTGCTAGGTTGGCAGGAGCTGGAACTAGAGACAGGAGCTCACCCCGTCTTGCGGCACCCGGGTCTTGAACTGCTGAACTACTGACCTTCCACAGCCTGCAGTTCAGCGTCTAAAAAAACGTCCTGTGCTCGATAAGCTTGATAAACTATGCAGTAATTGCTATTACCAAAGAAACTGGATCTTATCAAACAATAAAACCTTAAAAGTCCTCGGAGCTCCACATAAGCATCTGTGCCGTTTATCGCCCAACCATCAGGAGGGACGCACAGAGGGGGGGGGGAGAAACCTAAATCAAAAAGTAGAACAACCTAGTCCACTAACAGCAAACCGAAAGTCACTTTCAGTGCCTTCATCCAGCCCAAGGTTCCACTCCATTACCCACAAGAAAGAGTTTCTTGCTTAGGCATGAGATGCCATATAATGTGCTGACAGGAGAGTTGAGCAACCCAAAACACCATTCCGTGCAGAAGATACGTTTGAAAGCCACCATCTCCTGTGGACCTCCAAGACCAAGAAGAGGCCCATCTGACACAGACTCTCATAACAGCGTCAAAACCAAGCCCCTCACCGCCATTCTTTTTTAAAAAAAATTATTTATTTTAATATAAAAAACTGCAATACAAAATGGCGACTCTCTGTCCACAGTTATACAATGAATAACATAATAAAAAGTCTATATTAAAAAAAAATCACTTAGGAACTCTAGGCTAACCAAATACCAATAATTTGTATTTGGCTTTAGAAATGGTTTCCCAATCAAAGGTTGTCAATGTCTATTTTATCTAAAATGGGGTACCAGATATTTAGAGGATTAGAAAAGTCACTCTCATTTTGATTATTGGAATGATAAATTGAAAAACTGTCCAACATAAATAAATCCCATACTTTATACCACCACTGAGTTATATTTGGCACCTTAGTATCTTTCCAAAACCTTGCAATTAGAACTTTAGCCGCTGTGGAAAGAATACTGATTATTTTTTTGACTTTTTCAGGAGGACCGTCAGAGGGCCACAAACCGAGGAGAAGAACAGCCGGCGAAAAAGGTATGTTGTAGTTCGTTAATTTGTGAATGCAGTCTATTACTTGAATCATAACAGCGTCAAAACCAAGCCCCTCACCGGCATTCTTAACACTCACCCTTCCTCTGTTTCATTGATGATATCGCATATCTCCATGTTCAGCGTCCAGTCTTCGCTCTGCAGAGAGCCATCTGTGGCTTTTTCTATAAAGCAGGGGGGGGGGGGGCAGAGGTTTGTTAACTCACTTGCAGATTAAAAGCCAACGTGGACCCCAGAAACTGGTACTAGGCCAGTAAAGTGCCTGGCTGCATCCTGGAAAACAGGAATTGTGTCTAGGCAACTAAGAAAAAGGACTCAGAAACTGGAAGAGAGTTGGTTTCTGGTCCCTTCCCCCCCATTTCATGCTCACAAAGCGTGCCAAGTGACTGCACACTGAGATTAAGAGTCTGTCGGACAAAGGAAATGTAGCAAGACTCTTGTCCCAAATCTGACACGTCTTAAGTGCTGACATGGGGGGACGACATACTGTCCCATAAGCAGGGGTCATTTCCTGCAGGACTGCACAGGAGCGGACCTCCGGCAGTAAAGAGCCCAGGGGGCGGGCACATGCAACAAGCCCCACCCCCTGCTCCTAGCAGCCCTCAGTCAGAGCAAGAAGCAGCCAGATAAGCTGAACAGCCCCCGGCCCAGCCCAAAACAGTCCAGTGGCACCTTTAAGACCAAGTTTTATTCAGGTACAAGCTCTCCCTCCTCTGAGAGGACAGATCTGCACATCCCTCCCCCCAATAGCTAGCAATCCAAAACAGTCCAGTGGAGCCTGAGCGGTGGGTGTTGCCTTCTGACACACTTCCGGTGATGTCGGCGGGTGTGGCATATGCAAACAAGTTATGCTAATGAGTTATGCTAATGAGGTCCTGCACCTCTTTTTCTACGAAATGACCCCTGCCCATAAGTCATCTTTGTCATTTTTTTAAAAAATAGAATTTTTCTTCTTCACTGCAGCCCCCAAAGAGGAAGGGGGAAAAATGACAACATTAACAACAGTGCTGGCAAATCGACAGATAAGCCTCTAGGAAAGGTTTCCAAATATCTAAAAATACGTCCACGTGCAATGGTCGTCTGTATGTGATACGTTCAAACGTTGATAACACAGTAAGATTCTCTGTCCACTGGATTACTGGAGGTGGGCACTTCTCTCTCCAGTCTTATAATGCAAGTCTTTTAATAACAGTAAGGGCATGGAGGGTCCATTTTGTTGACCATAAGTTATGGCATGAATTAACTCGTTTTTGTACATAGATTAAGATGGGTCGCCCATGTCAGTCTGTCTGTAGCAGCAGAAAACAGCAAGAGCCCAGCAGCACCTTAAAAAACTTTTTAAAAAATCATGGCGGAGGGTGAGTTTAAGCTCATACCCAGCCACAAATTTTGGTTCCGTACATCACCCTGCCAACAAAAGTCCGCATGGTCAAAGCAATGGTATTCCCAGTAGTCATGTATGGCTGCGAGAGCTGGACTATAAGGAAGGCCGAGCGCCGAAGAATACATTCTTTTGAACCATGGTGCTGGAGAAGACTCTTGAGAGTCCCTTGGACTGCAAGAAGATCAGATCAGTCAATCCTAAAAGAAATCAACCCTGACTGTTCCCTGGAAGGCCAGATAATGAAACTGAAGCTCAAATACTTTGGCCACCCAGTGAGAAGGGAGCCCTCACTGGAGAAGACCCTGATGCTGGGAAAGATTGAAGGTCAAAGAAGACGGGGACGGCAAAGGATGAGATGGTTAGACAGTGTCACCGATGCAATGAACATGAAATTGAGCAAACTTCAGAGGACGGCGGAAGACAGGAAGGCCTGGCGTGATCTGGTCCATGAGGTCGCGAAGAGTCGGACTCGACTGTGCGACTGAACAACAACATGTATTTTAGCTGTTGTTTTAATCGATCCATCAATGTGTTTTTGTTTGGCTTTGATAGTTTTTAAAAAGGGGTTTTTATTACAAACATTTTCAATCTGTTTTCATTACATTTTATTACAACCAGGGCGAGGGTGTTCTCGGCAGTGGCTCTTCTCTGGCGGAACGCGCTCCCAGAGGAGATCAGGGCCCTGCGGGACCTTACGCAGTTCTGCGGGGGCCTGCAAGATGGAGCTGTTCCGCCAGGCATTCAACTAAGGAGCTGCCAGGAAGGGGGGGGGGCTGCCCCCTGTAATCTTCAAAGCAGCCTGAGCCAGCCGCATGATATTAGATCGGGATCGACCACTAGGAAGGCACTGGAGTTTGAGCGTCATCCCAAACGTAATGCTAAACTGTTATCTGTTTAATGGTCTCTGGATTATGATCTGTTAGCACCTTTTAATGTTGTAACTGTTAGATGGTTTTATGATCATTATACTATTTCTTGCTGTTTTTATGCTGTCGTGAGCCGCCCTGAGCCAGCCATGGCTGGGAGGGCGGAGTATAAATTTAAACACATACATTTTCAATCTCTCAGCCACCTTGGTGGCCTTGGTGAAGGCATAATTTTAAATTGTTGTTGTTGTTCTGTTTTAATGTTATGCACCCAGCTTGTTAAATGGCGTTTGGTCCTGTCCCTGGTTTGTCACGACACCGGAATGCTGGAAGAGCCTGCGTGGTGTTGTGCTTAAGAGCGGCAGATTCTAATCTGGAGAGCCGGGTTCGATTCCCCACTCCTACTCCTCCACACGCAGCCTGCTTGGGTGACCTTGCGCCAGCCACGGTTCTCCCGGGACTCTCTCGGCCTTGCCTACCTCGCAAGGTGATCGTTGCGGGGAGAGGAAGGGAAAGGCGGTTGTAAGCTGCTTTGAGACTTCCTTAAGGCATAGCAAACTAGCAGATAAAACCCAACTACTCTTGTGTAAGCATTAGCTGTTGGTAAGCCTATAGATCTTACAGCTCTCATCAACTACTCGCTGTAAGTTCTTACAGACCGAGACCTGGCTGGTTTCGAGAGAAATTGGCCAACTGTTAACTGCATGCACCTGGCAGCCTGAAAAGGGGGCAGGCTGGGGACACTCTCCTCATATATGCAGCCACGTGGAATCTCGGCCGGAACAGGACTTGATGGATGCTGCTAATGCAGAAGCAACATTTTCTCCCTCAGCCTGGAATGACAAGTCACTTTCAAGGAACTGCCTACAGTCACGAAAGGACTGTTTTTATTATGTCTGTAAGCCAGTGTTCTAGCTGTTATCTGTCAGTGGCTTCCCTTTTCAATCTTGCTATTGTTTGTGCTTCAGAGTGGTTTCTGCTTTTGCAAACGTTCTATGGCCAACCACCTCTGCTTCTCCCTTGCCCCGAAAGCCCCTTGCTGGGTTTCCCATAAGACTCTTGTCAGATCTCGGACGTTAAGCAGGGCCTGTACTTGGATGGGAGACCTCCAAGGAAGTCTCTGCAGAGGAAGGCAATGGCCAACCACCTCTGCTTCCCCCTTGCCCCGAAAGCCCCTTGCTGGGTTTCCCATAAGACTCTTGTCAGATCTCGGAAGTTAAGCAGGGTTGGTACTTGGAAGGGAGACCACCAAGGAAGTCTCTGCAGAGGAAGGCGATGGCCAACCACCTCTGCTTCTCCCTTGCCCCGAAAGTCCCTTGCTGGGTTTCCCATAAACCTCATCAGATCTCGGAAGCTAAGCGGGGTTGGTACTTGGAAGGGAGACCACCAAGGAAGACTCTGCAGAGGAAGACAATGGTCAACCACCTCTGCTTCTCCCTTGCCCCGAAAGCCCCTTGCTGGGTTTCCCATAAACCTCATCAGATCTCGGAAGCTAAGTGGGGTTGGTACTTGGAAGGGCCACCACCTAGGAAGACTCTGCAGAGGAAGACAATGGCCAACCACCTCTGCTTCTCCCTTGCCCCGAAAGCCCCTTGCTGGGTCTGCCATAAACCTCTCATCAGATCTCAGAAGCTAAGCAGGGTTGGTACTTGGAAGGGAGACCACCAAGGAAGACTCTGCAGAGGAAGACAATGGCCAACCACCTCTGCTTCTCCCTTGCCCCGAAAGCCCCTTGCTGGGTCTGCCATAAACCTCTCATCAGATCTCGGAAGCTAAGCAGGGTTGGTACTCGGAAGGGAGACCACCTAGGAAGGCTCTGCAGAGGAAAGCAATGGCCAACCACCTCCCTTGCCTGGAAAGCCCCTTGCTGGGTTTCCCATAAACCTCATCAGATCTCGGAAGCTAAGCGGGGTTGGTACTTGGAAGGGCCACCACCTAGGAAGACTCTGCAGAGGAAGACAATGGCCAACCACCTCTGCTTCTCCCTTGCCCTGAAAGCCCCTTGCTCAAGTTGCCTTTTGTTGGCTGTAACTTGAAAGTGTTTCAGATGAACGCTCGTTTTTATAGCTTATTGTTTTTTATTTAACTTTGTATTTCAACATAGCCACCTGTAGGGTATAAAAATTTTAAGATTTTTTTTTTTTAAAGATGCTTTGGCTTTTCCTGAACTCTTCTCCGAGATGGCTTCGTAGGCGGGGATGCTTACCTAAAGACAATTTGTGCTCACCATTAAATTTTCATGTGAACTTGTGCCACTTCCTGGCAGAGGCAGCACAATGCTGCTCCATTAACAACCCCCGCATGCGCATCCACCCCCGCCTGCAATTATGGAAGGTCACCGGGCCTCGGCTACAGACACCAAAGGCTCCGATCAACGCAATACGCTTAAATCAAACGATTGTCCTGATTTCGCAGAGTCTCCGAGAGCCGTCAATTAATAAAACGGCCAGATAATTGCATCTCGTCTCGGCACGGCCAAATGCCGGACAAGAGAATTGTTGTTAAGCAGAGCCCAACTTCGGTCAAACTTCAGCCCTGGAAAGAAACACTTGTCAATTCTAAAGTGGGCAGCGGCCGCCACCCCCCTTGTCAGTCTTAAGACCCTGAAGATCTCTTTTAAGGAAAAGTTTGGGTAAAGATACAGAAACGCAACCCGCTTTCGAAATCTCTTTTCGACGTATTTCTTCGAAGCAAGCAAAGGGGGGGCAAGCAATTTAGGCTTGCCAGCAATGTTCCCTCTAAGCTGAGTTTGTGTAAGCCAGCTCACAGTTCTTTACCCTCCGGTTCACACATTTTTGTCTTAGCTCAGGAAGGAGGGCTCCAGAGCAAGCTAACTTATGCAGAGGCTGAATCGCTCACTCGCAACTTTAATGTCACTAGCTCACAAAGTAGATTTTTTTGTTCACAAG